CCCCAAAACCCCAAAACCCCAAAACCCCAACAGTCTTTAAAATCTCAATTATTTTAAGCTTCATTAAAATATATAAACAATAAAATGGATAAAATAGTGCAAAATTACTATGGAGGAGGAAATAAATACGACCCAAGAGCTTAGGCAGCATCGAAGAAACACTACTGTGCAATATGTAAGATCGAAATATCAGCAAGTAGATCTTCTATAATGTTCCATGAACAGTCTAAATAGCATTAATAAAAGAAAAAGGAGACAATTGATAGATCTAGAGGTAGAAATAATCCTGACTTCTAAAATGATCCCACTAAGCCCTAAAGGGTAAACATGTAGCAACTAAAATCCTTAGCTAATAATGCAATGATGGAGGAAATGAAGAGAATTGAGGAGGCAGCATTTTCTACTTATGATAAAAAGGATGCTACTGGCTTTAGATATAAAAAGCTTAATTAAGCTGAGGTTCTGGTTTCTCTACAATAGCAATAGAATGCAGGTGCAAGGAGAAATGAATAATCAGAATAAGAAAGAGATATGGGCTACTAAAAGCCTAAGTAATCTTAATTTGAAGAGGATTCTGGCTCTTCATTTAATATAGATGATATCAAGAATGAGCCCATTTGGTCTTCTCATTATGATGAAGACTCTGGAGAAGTCTACTATTACAACAGACTGAAAAAGAATAGTCAATGGGACAGGCCAAAGAATTTTGATGGATATGAAATCATGTCAGGCCAGCAGTCAATGAATCAAGATTCAGTATATTAAAGAACTTTTGGAGGTTTTCTTACACAACAAACAAGCATGCCCACACTGCTTGAAAACAAAGGGCCTACTGATTAGGGTGTAGTAGGTGGTTGGGTGGAAGTTAAAGATGATTTTGATTATTATAAGTAAAACTCAGTGCAGAACTTTGACCAATAAAAGCTTTAAGAAATAGAAAAGAAGGAGCTCGAGTGTAAACCGAAAACCAGAGAAGAAATCATAGATTACATCAATCAAAATTCAGACTCAGAGGAACTAGCGCCAGAGGATGATTAATAGAATGCTATGGATAAAAATTAAAATGAAGAAGAAGATGATGATGAGGAGAATGAATAGGGTATTGATTTGATAAGGAGACAGTTAATGAAGTAAAAGGATGAATGCAAAATATATTAGAAATCTATACTAGGAAAAAGGAAACTTAATTAAAGATCGAATAAGCCATAATTAGTAAATGCAACAGATAATGATATTTTAAAAGAATCGATTAAAGATATGAAGATTAGAGTCGAAAAGGGAACTTTAAATGAGGATTTTTCAAGAATAAATTATGCAGAGGATAAAATTGTTGATGCTACGAATAATGCTTAACCACTTGGACATGAATTAGATTCATTAAACAAAATAAGAGATGATGGGCCTGCTAGTGTGGGAGGCTCTACTGGATTTGGATTTAAGAAAAGAGAGTAAAAAAACGTAAAGAAAAGATAAGCAGTGACATCTGATGGAGAGAAAGATTGATAAGATAGTCCAATGATTTTGTAGAATAATTAAAGTTAAACTTAATTTCATAAATTCAAACAATTTCTAAAGATTAGGGCTTCGGGGTTTTGGGGTTTTGGGGTTTTGGGG